GCTGAAGGTGGAGCCCGCGCCAGAGCCAAAGCTGGAGCCCAGGCCGTAGCTGAGGCCGGGGCTTGTGAGGCCCCCATAGGCAGAGCTCAGACCACCTGCACAGCCGCTGGTGGTCTTCGTGTGGATACTCATGTTCCGCATCCCAGACTCCAGCCGGCTCTCCTCGCCCTCCAGTAGCTTGCGGTAGGTGGCGATCTCGATGTCCAGGGCCAGTTTGACGTTCATCAGCTCCTGGTGGTCAGGCAGCTGCCGTGCCAAGTCCTGCTTGGCCTTCTGCAGGGCTTCCTCCAGCTGCTGCTGCTTGGCACGAGCATCCTTGAGTGCCTGCTCCCCGCGATGCTCAGCATCTAAAATGGCGGCCTCCAGGGAGGTCCTCTGGCCTTTGAGGCCCTCCATCTCGGCCTGGAGCCGGCTGATGTTCCGGTTCATCTCGGAGATCTCAGTCTTCCTACGCCGCAGGTCATCCCCGTGCTTCCCAGCCAGCTTCTGCAGCTCCTCATACTTGATCTGGTACACGCTCTCCGCCTCGGCCCGGCTGCCGTTGGCGATCTCCTCGTACTGCGCCTTGACCTCAGCGATGATGCTGTCCATGTCCAGGGAGCGGCTGTTGTCCATGGACAGCACCACAGAGGTGTCGGAGATCTGGGACTGCAGCTCCCGGATCTCCTCTTCATACAGCTGCCTGAGGAAGTGGATATCGTCAGTCAGTCCTTCCAGGCGAGACTCCAGCTCTACCTTGTTCATGTAAGCTTCATCCACATTCTTCTTGATGAGGACAAATTCATTCTCCATCTCTGTACGCTTATTGATCTCTTCCTCATACTTGTACTGGAAGTCCTCCACCAGCCCCTGCATGTTGCCAAGCTCCGCCTCCAGCTTCAGCTTCTCCTGGCCCAGAGTCTCCAGCTGCCGCCTCAGGTTGTTGATGTAGCTCTCAAACATGTTGTCCATGTTGCTCCTAGCCGTCTTCTGCTGCTGCAGGAGGCTCCACTTGGTCTCCAGCATCTTGTTCTGCTGCTCCAGGAACCGCACCTTGTTGATGAAGGAAGCAAACTTGTTGAGGGTCTTGATCTGCTCCTTCTCCTGGGTACGCACGGCCTGGATGTTGGGGTCCACGTCCAGCTTAATGGGGTTCAGCAGGCTCTGGTTGATGGTGACGGCAGTGATGCCTCCCGTGCCTATGCCGCTGGCCCCCGCATAGCCTGCACCCAGGCCACCGCGGAAGCCAGCGCTGCTCACTCGGGAGAAGCTCGAGGAGCTCGAGCGGGCACTGGGCCCACTCGTGAAGGAGCAGCTGCTGAAGGCCCCGGGGCCAGAGGTGGACACCCTGTAGGACTTCTGGGTCACCCTGATGGACATGGTGGAGGCAGGAGTGGAGGCAGGCAGGGTGAACCAGGGAGAGATTCCAGAAGGAGCGGAGAAGCTGCTGCTTGCAACAGGCACTTTCATGTGACTCTTCTCTTTGTAGCCACAGTAGGGGGGCAGGGTGGGGCAGGGTGGGGCAGGGTGGAGAAGCTAAATGTCTGGTACTATCCAATCAAACAAAATAACTCTCATGTCTTTGAAACAGTGATAAACAGGATCAGTGCTTTGCAATAGAGAAGATAAGAGCATGAATTGGAAATTTCACTCAGCCACCTGTCATTTGGAAAGCAAGGCTATGCTTGTGGTGTCTCATGCCCATAAAATCTCCTCCAAACTGTCAGATTTTATAAGCATTAACAGAAAAATGTCTTTAAGAGGCACACACATACACACAAAAATGTACAATAAAAATTTTAGAGAAATAAAAAAATTAAGATAAATCAGAGGAAACCAAACTTAAAGAAGGTATCACTTAATAAAATAGTAGCTACTAAGATTTGCACAGGTAAGTTTTGGTGTTTCAAATAAGCAGATTTGATGAAAGCTTAGAATATAATTCGGATAATTTGGTTTTCTCCTGAAATTTCAACACAACCATGTAAATAGAAATTACAAAACATTCATGAGCCTGGACACACCTCAGGCATTTCAGTACACAGACATGTAACTTACGGATGACAGGGCATTCTTCAGACCAATGACCTGAGCAGATGGGGAGGAGGAGGCATCCTGCTCCATCAGCTGCCTCAGTTTCTCTCTCTCCATTGACATGATATTAAAAGCTGACCTTAAAGTGAAGTAAACTATAGAGATATAATCATTATAAAAAGGAATAAAGAGGCATAATTAAAAATAAAATACACAAAAATATATCTCTAAAATAATTAAGCAAAGTAACAGTACTGAGTATTTTGAGTATAGCAAATGTACACTCTACCTGGACTTTTAAAAGACACATCTGCCATGTGAACACTAATGTAAATTAAGGCCTCTGGATGATGATGTGTCCACGTAGGTTCATCAACTGTAAGAGATGCACTACTCTTGTGTGAAATGCTTATGGTGGGGGTACTGTGCCTACATAGGAGCAAGGGGCTTACAAAAACTCTGCACTTTTGGTTCAATTTTGCTATGAACCTAAAACTGCTCGAAAAAATAGTCTATTAAAATTAACTCCCATACACACACGTTTGCCAATTCTAAGTCCCCTATGCACTATAATATCTCATGACTTTATGACTTTTCATCAGGATTTTTTGACACTTGGACTTTGCTTCTGGATCCTCAATGATCAGTGTTTTGTTTTGTTTGTATCCCCAAAGACTGGAAAGGATTAATAACAAAGCTTATTGGTTTTCAAGGGAAAAATGTTAACACAGCAGCAGAAAAATTAGATAGCACCTTAACCAGGTGATCAAAATTAACTATCAGTGAGAGTCAGGTGGACTGTGTGCCTCTAGGTACAATACACTGAAAAAGACACATCTTCTTTGGTGTATGCCAGCTGGGGCTATGTAATCTGAATTTGATCATGAGGAAACATCAGACAACCCCAGAATGAGAAACATTTTATTTTTAAAAGTTGACCTGCATTACTCAAAAGTGTCAATTTTATGAAAGAGAAAGAAAGGCTGAAAAACTGTTCCCAGTTAAAGGAGGCAAAAAAGGCATGACAATGAAATCGACTCAAGGGGCAACATGGTACTAAAGGCATTATTGGAATAACTGACAGCATTTGAATATGGAAGTTAGAACAGATAAAAGTTGTTTCAATGCTGTATTTCCTCAATTTGATTACTATACTGTGGCTATATAACAGAATATTCCTATTTTATATACTAAAATATAAAGCCATAAAGAGCAACATGATGTATGAATCTCACTCTCAAATGGTTCAGAAAAATGTGTGTGTGTGTGTGCGCACGCGCGCGCGTGTGTAGAGAGAGAGAGCAGTAAAACAAATGTGGCAAACTATTTAAAATTATGTATTTGGGTAAAGAGTATACAGAACGTTCTCTGTATAATTCTTGCAACTTTTCTGTAAATTTGTGATTGTTTCAAAACAAGGTCTTATTGTCTACCTTCTTGCTTGTTAGCCCTTCCAGCTGCAGGACCCAGAATCGCCCACCCCTATTCCTGGCATTCAGCTACTCTGTTCCCTAGTGAGCACTCAGGTACAACAAGAGCTTAGCCACTATTAGGCCTCCAATGCCTGAACTGAAGTTAAAAAAACATTAACACATAGAGCAAAGAAAAAAAAAATCATTATTCATTAGGTTTTGATCACATCATGTACAAATTACTTCCTAGGAATAGGGAAGCTGTTATCTAAATTACTTATCGTGGATATCACATTTGAATATTATCTTTCCAATCTCCTTTATTATATTTAGTTTTAGAAGAGCAGGAAGAAGGAAGAGACTCAGACACATGTCTTCTGAAATGAGCCGGCACATTCCTGAATTCCACAGGGCTGCAGTTTTAGAGGTATTGTTATTCAAGAGTGGCCTATTTAGTAACACAGAAACTAAATAGGCATTACTGGCTTACTTCATTTAATAGCAAGGAGGCCATCTAAACCTCTTTATACGTTGTCGCTGAACTTGTCTGAGGTTGCAGCATTTAGTGATGGACCTAGTACATCTTAACAAAGTCACAACAATTTGTTTACACACACACACAAACACACCACACTGGTGCTGCCTCTGCCAACAGAAGACAGGAGTCAAACAAAACTAAAATTTTCTAACAATGCCTATGAAACACAATTAGCTCTTTGCTTTAAACAATTTAATTGAGCAAAATAATTGGCAGCACAATAGAGTGACCAACAGCTGGGGCTCCACCATCAGCCCTAGGTTCTTCCCTACTCCATCACCTATTCGCTTCATGACCTTGGATGAGTAAATGATGTGCCTGAACCCCAGTTTCCTCATTTGTAAATAGGGATAACTATTACTTTATAAGGCTGTCATGAGGATTGAACGAGAGAGAATGCAGGTGAAGCGTGTAACCCAATGCATGGTATGTAATTAATAACAAATGTTACTGCAATAATCATAGTGATGCCGATGAAGGAGACACCTGAGGATGAGAGTGATGGTGACTGTAGTCTTTTGAAGTGTGGGCAGCAGCTGCAGAGAGGATGCTTTAATCTTTTGCCAGGACAATGCTTGTAAATAACTGCACACAGGGTAGAAATTCTAAGAATGAGGGGTTGGCCAGAATCTAGGGAGCCATAGGAGAACAGCCTTGGGAGGAGAGCAGTGAGCCACACAATTAATGGACTGCATCCTATGTCCTGTTAGGCAGGCACTACTCCCCTGCCCTGCCTGCCACACACACGGGATGCCCATGGCCATCTCAGTGGGTCCCTCGGGGAGCTACCTCTCTACTGTTGCTCCAAATAAAATGAATGGCACTCAGCTGGCTGCCACTTTCCCAAATCAATTCCTCTGGCTTCCAGATGACCCACAGAAAAGCAAGGCTTTGCACCAAATGAGAAGATTCCTATAAAAATTTTAAAAACTGGCACAATATCCAATATTTGGTTCAAAATGTATAGCTGACAAGATTGTAGTAGGTATAAGATAAGCAGAAAGAAGCTTATAAAGTCATTATGTTTTATTATAAGGTGTAAAATGCTTCCTAAATCATCTGAAAAAAAAGGATTTGGAAGACTAGATCCCCATGTACTCAATTTTTTAAATGACTATTAAGATCCACTCAGGACGTTACAATAGTCATTCACAGCCACCTAAAGATCATGTACACACACAGCAATGATCAGAAGCTGCTCATGAGAGACCACATTTATATTAATTGTTAAAGACACAGGATCCCAAAAGTCAGGAACACTCTCTGTGACAGAAGTGTTTTCTTACTTCTAACACGAATTAAAGTTTACTAGAGACAAAAAAAAGCTTAAAAAAAAATAGAAGATTCAGATGAGTACATCACACCTATGGGTTACCTGACAATAAATAAAACCACACAGAAAATCCTAGATGCTCAGAGCTATGAAGGACCTCAAAGATCACCATAGCCACCCACCCCACATCACGACCAACTCGTCACGTCTCCAGCTTCCCTGCCAAATGGTCTGTTGGCCCATGCTTGTCAGAGTACTTGCTATCTCCTAAAATGGTACATTCTGCTCTGGGGCTTAGAAAGTCATTCCTGTTGCTAAGACAACATTTTCCTCAGTGTGTCTTCACTGCCAAACAGGAGTATTTCCTCTTTCAGTGGCTGTTCAAATACTGGAAGGCAACTGCAGCACCTATGTTTATTCATTTCTTTCCCAAACTGTCATTAGCCATTTCTCAGATGCCCTTCTTGGACTATAAGAGGGGGGCACAGGTTGAGTTTTTGACTGTAAGAAGTCTTAAGTTGCATCTACAGAATGGAGCATCATAAGCATCGTACAAGTGACTCTTGGTGGTCTTTTTGCTGTTCTTTTATTGAGTTAGGATGGTGAGACTGTAATAGATGGAATGTTTGGACAGTGAAAGTCAATACTGAAGGATAGTTGGACTCAATTTATCTGAGCTCTACTTATTAATATGCTCCTTCTTCAGCAGTCTTTCAGCATCAGGAAAGAATAAGACCTTGGAAAACATAGTTATGAATGCCATGGGCACCACACTAGAAAGCAGCGTGGTACAGAAGAAAGAAATTCTCTAATAAGGCCAGCCTGAACCTAAATCCTATCTCTAACACTCGGTTGCAGTTGCCATTTGTATTTTGGACAAATCCTTGGTTTCCACAGCTGTACATGTGGATAATGGGCGCATCTGAAGAGTGCTTTAAGCAATGAGAAAACCTACTATCACAGAGCGCCTAATCAAACAGTGAGACTCATTTTTCCCCCTTTTTAATTGAAAAACCAAATTTTAGGTGAATTTTCTTTAAAATGTTAACATTCCTAAAATATCTGGGACACTCTGATCTTCTGTAATCTGCAAAAATTTCAAACCTCATAGGATGCCCATGATTTTAAAATACTTTATAACCTATATTCCATCCAAATTAACTTAGATATATTAGGTAACTTTACTAAATGGTCCTGCTTATGAATCTAATTGCTCAGCACATTTATGCTGAATTCTAATTTATGAACAATAAATGATTTGGCTTTTTGTTGAGTCATATATCTCTTTTAGCTTTTTAATCTAGGAAAGAGGTATCACTGTAACACACTTGGCTTTTTATTCAATGCTTCCGTAAGTTCAAAACCATTCAGAAAATGACCATTCAATAATTACTACTCAACATAGGGAAAGAATCCAGAAACAAAAGAATAGGTAAATATAGTTTTGATTTTGTTCCATTTAGCTTTCACATTTGTGAATAGGAATTTCCTTCACTTGAAGAAAAAGTGTCCCTAAAACATCATTTGCTTCCCTTCCAAGGCAGAAAAACACAGGTGTCTGCTTCCATTCAGAACACCTGACTCTAGTCCCATCTTGTTCCTTACTTTGCCATCCTAAATCTGCTTACCAAGTTTGGTCATTTCTGTTTCTGCTAACAGAACACTCTGTCAGAAAACCTTCTTGTAACAGTAAGCAATAGTATGTATTCTTTCTATTCAGTGTAAAATAATCAAAGAAAATAACTGCACAATTTGAGAACCAAAAGAGGACAACTACTATAGACATTTAACAGGCAACGAAGGGCCAGAGAGTTAACCAATGAAGTCAAAGTCCCACAGCCAGTCACTAACAGAGGCGGCCTACTTAGCCAGTACAGAGGGAGCTCCAAAACGGCTTAGTATTTACATTGTTTCCTAAAGTATGTTTCTGAGAAACTTAAAATTCCAGGATGCTAATAGCTGTTGGAAATAAGGGGGAAGATTCCCAAATAAGGCTGAAAGTCACTGAGTTAAAGTCAACAGATGTTTTTTGTTTTTGTTTTTTTGCTGCAGGACTTCGTGGGGCCTTTACTATTTACTTTTCTTATGGAAATCCAAGGAGACCAAGTCAGTAGTGTTTTCCAAACACTTTTAGTCATGTAGTTTTTGTTTCATTTTTAAAAGTACTTTATGGGTGAAGTGTTTCCTAAAATATATTTTGGGAAATGTAAACGCTAATATATGTGACAAAAATTACTTAAGACTTTTTGGTTTCAGTACATTTCATTCTCTGTTTATGTGTGAGAAACATACACACAAAGCCAGAAATATAGGCCAACAAGAACTGGCTCAACAATATGCCACAAAAATCAAATTCACAGTCTGTAATATAGAATAAGGACTTTTAATACTAGGATGGGTATATATTGGTTGCCCACCATATGATCTATAAAACCAGGAGAATTCAAATGCATTTAACAAGTTTCAGGTCACACAGGCTATGCAACATCACTGGAATTCCTGCCTTTAGTTCAGCTGCTTTGAAATTGTAGTCAGCAGAATAGTGATGCAGTCGAGAAAGCACAATAGTCACTGTCAGTAACAAAACGCGGTTTACACAGGAAGAAAAGTCAAGATGCTTTGACTTTGAATGTATGGAAGTGAGAAGGCATGCAAGGTCACAGGACTCAGCACAAACCTGAGGGAGCTGTCTTTATTCCCTGAGGCCCCCAAATTACAATCTGTGTAAGAGACTCCCTGAACCAGGAAAAAGGAAGATCTTTCCATCTCTGCAAGTATACTGTAAAACCACAGGAATGAAACAGCTTGTTAGGCTGCCTGTGGAATTTGTTGTCTGTACGCCCACAGGGCTCAGGTAACTGCCGAATAAGTGCATTGGACCTTTCTCCAGGACAAACCTTGGCCCAGTCTAGGTATGTGGCGGCTCTGCAGCCAGTGAGTTTTCACAAAGTGGAAAAGACAAAACTGCTGGCTGGGGCCCATTACAGACTTTTGACAAGGTGGAGGCCTCTGCAGGAAGATTGCATCAATGAATCCACTCAATATGGCAACCTCTGTCCGGCTGAGAAAGCAGCTTCTTCAATGTAGGTGAAACTCAGGACATTTCCTCTGTGTAGGGAAGCATTATCTTCTTATTTTAAAAAAGTTCATATTATTAAAAAGTAACAACGTTTTATTGGAATTTCCTTCCACAAAACTTAAAATGCCCTAATTGCAACTGGTTCTTTTAATATTAGGGAATGCCCAAGAGGGAATTTGAAGAGGCTTTAAGGGTGGGCCAGGTAACTCTTGCCATTTTACAGATGGACCATACAATAGCATAGCAAAAACAGTGACAACATTCTAATGGTAATTAGGACAAGTGTTCGAGGTAGCAATCTGTATAAAGGACGAAATGGTTTCCCTATAACCCACCTCATATCCAACATGTTTTAAATTTAGAGGGTAAGGGAAGAGAGAGCTGAAGGAATCAGTAATATATGAAAGAAAAATATGAAGTAGGAAAGGAAGGCAATAGAGGGAATATTTTCTCTCTTACCACATTATGCACTGCCCTCCAGTGAAAAATTTCAAATCCGTTTTCTCTTTTAGGAATAATATATGAAAATTGAAGAAAAGTTAAGCAGAAAGATAAATAAGCACTTATAACTCTAGCATCCACCACTAAAATGTTGGTATATATCCTTCCAGACTTTTTAGTATACCTATATATGCCAGAAATAGTATCATATCTATATATTGTTTTGCAACCTTACATTTTTACTCAATGATATGCTGTGGACATCTTTCTATGTCTATAAAAAATAACTCTGGCACTCCATCTGTAAGAGCAACGAAACACCAGGTAAGGAATACGGACTCTGGGGTCAAACAGGTGAGAATTCAAGTCTCATGTTGGCTGCTTTGTAACCATTCGACCCTCAGGAAGCTGTTATTTTCTCTAAGTCTCAAGTTTCTTATTTAAGCAATGGAGATCACAATGATACCTACACTTCATGGGCTGCAGCTAGAATTAAATAAAATAATGCATGTAAGGTACTTAGCAAATGCCTGACATGACAGTTATGTGCTCGATGTTAAGTAGCTATCATTATTATTAGTAGTATTCTATTATGATTATGTTAGATTTTAGAAAAATTTCAATCCCCTATTGTTTGGCATTTAGATTACTTCTAATTTTTTAACTTTTTATTTTAAAATCATTATCAACTTACAGGAAGTTGCAAAACAAGTAAAGTCCCACATACCCTATACCCAGTTTCTCCCAGTAGTTACATCTTACATATCTATGGTACAATATAAAAATGTAGGAATTGACATCAGTATAATCTACAGATTTTATTCAGATTTTACCAGATTTCCATGCACTTTTCTGTTTATATATGTGTGGGTATGAGTAAATGCAATTTTATCACATGTCCACATTCCTGTAACCAGCATCACAATCAGGATACAGAACTTTTTGCATCACTACAAGATCCCTTGTGCTACCCGTTTATAATCACACTCCTCTTTCCTTCTTCCATCTCCATAATTATATCATTTCAAAACGTTTATGTAAGTGGAACCCTACTGATATGGTTTGGCTGTGTCACCACTCAAATCTTATCTTGAATTGTAGCTCCTATAATTCCCATGTGTATGGGAGGGACTCAGTGAAAGATAATTGAATCATGGAGGGTGTTTTCTCCCATACTATTCTTGTGGTAGTGAATAGGTCTCACAAGATCTGATAGTTTTATAAGGGGCTTCCCTTTTCACTTAGCTTTAATTCTCTCTTGCCTGCCACCATATAAGACGTGACTTTTGTCTTCCACCAGGATTGTGAAGCCTCTGCAGCCACTTGGAACTGTGAGTCCATTAAACCTCATTTTCTTTATAAATTACCCAGTCTTGGGTATGTCTTTATCAGCAGCATGAAAATGGACTTATACACCAATACAATGTAATGTTTTGAGATTGGCTATTTTCTCTCAGCATCATGTCCTTGAGATCCATCCAAGTTGCTATGTATATCAATAGTTTGTTCCTTGGTATTGCTGAGTAGTATTCCATTGTGTGGATGTACTGAAGTTTGTTTAACCATTCATCTGTTGAAAACCATTTGAGTTTGTTTCCAGTCTTTGGCTAAACTTACTCTGAACACATGTATAGATTTGTGGACATAATTTTTCATTTATCAGGAACAAAGGCTCAGAAATGAGTGTTGGGTTGCATAGTAAGGCCAAACCTTTTCCAGAGTGGCTACATCATAGCCACAAACAATGTATGATAGATTACATGTCTATACATTCTCACCAGCATTTGATACTATATTTTCTTTTAACTTTAGCTCTTCTAATAGGTGTGTAGTAACATCTCATCATGGCTTTAATTTCCATTTTCTTAATGGCTAATGATGTTGAATACCTGTTTCTAACTTTTGATGTGACAAACAATGCAAAAATGGATACCTCTGTTTGGATATATTTTAAGTTAATTCCTACAATGAATTCTTCAAAGTGGAATTGCTGGATGGGCAGATTTAAAAAAATAGTGGGAACATAATATCAGATTGCCATCCAGAAGATTACCAATTTACACTCCCATCAGCATCACATGAATTGCTCAGCCTTTAAAGTACTCTCTCTTTGTCTCCCCCACAAGGTTAAAAAGAAAGTTCTTGCCAATACATTCTCCATTACCAGGGAAATAAAATAAAAATCAGATTTACCTAAATCTTAACAGAGCAGAAAATGAACCAACTAAGATACTCTCTCTAAGGACATCCCACATTCAGACATGCATTTAACATTTTTATCAAACACATTAGGAAGAAAGAAAACTCATTTACCTTTATGGGCAATATGACACAGATCTTCTTGCATTTTAGAAAACTCTGATGAGGTTTCAGAGCCATCAGAATAATTTTTCTCTTCTCCAAAATCTAGTGTTGACAAATTAGGATTGGAGGAGTGTAGTCTTACTGGGCCAGAAAAAGGTTTGGGGACCTGAAGTAACACCAAAGGGAGATATTTCTTTTCAGATGCAGATTGTTTAGAATATTTACTTGATTCTAAGACTGAAACATAGTAATAGAAAACACCTTATAGGTAGGTCTTTCTACTGCTTGATAACTTATTTTTAAAAATGAGAACTTCAGACAACACTTTCCACAGCAATTTGCTTCTTGTGAGCTAAAAATGGGTGACAAATCATATATTCTTTTAGAAATGATAGAAGCATTAAAGCTATAGGTTGAAAATGACAGCTAAAACTGCCAGACTTTCTCATTTATACTCAATTCCTTCTTCCTGGCAATAATCATCCATGTAGCCAGGCAGCTAGTAACAGATACGTTTAAAATGTTTTTCTTTGCACCTAGGGCTTCTAAAAAACAAACAAACTTCATTTGCACATGGAACATTCTTTGCTTTCAAAGTGCTTACCTTCAGTCCATAAAGTACTTTGAACCAGAGTGTACAAGAGCGTATCAGGTGACCTAACCAAAAGCTTGCGTGAAATTTATGCTGATTCTAAAAATGTTACAATTTAATATGCATCAGTTAAGTTGCAAATCTTGGCCTGTGGCTTAGCTGTGCATTGGGAAAGCTCCTAGCACAGTGAATCTTGGATGAGGGATTGGGACTTTGGAGATAAGAGGCCAAGGAGAATCTGCACAATGTCCTGTGCCCAGAGAATCAGGCCTGTGGGCTTAGAGGAATGAGAATCCACGGAGCACCAGCGGAAGATGTAGGTCAGAGCACACGACAACTGCGGCCGCAAAACAAGGCACAAACACAAGCAGGAAGAGCACAGGCAGGCTCAACAGCAAAAAAGGGGAAACCAAAAGTCCTAGAAATGGCAGCAGTCCTGCAACCTCACATCCTTTCTCCCTTAGAAAATATTCTCTCCCTTGCCCATGATCCACTATGTGCTTATCCTAGCATCCAGATAATCTAAGTGATTCAATTCATCTCTCTACAGAGGGCACTGGAAAGAACAACTATAGAATATTCACTCGTCTATTCTAGCTAAGTCAAGGTAGCTCCCGGCACATGACATGCAGAGCAGGGCCAGTGAAGAAACCAGTCTGTTGGGGGAAGCAATGGTTACCTGCAGCGTTCCTTTAGCATCTTTGCCAATAGCTCTGGACCGCCACCTCCTGTGCGATCTTTTTTCCTTTTTGGGACTTTCAAAAGCTCCACCCTTTGTTTCAGAACAGGAAAGAAAGCACAGACAGTAAAGTCCACCAAACCAACAGGGATAAATGCATAGCAAGGTGACCACCTCCATCCCCTTAATTTTGGCTGAAGCAACTGATCACAGCATCCCACTGTTAGTGAAAGGCTGGGAGGAGAAAGGAAAGCAGAAGAGGGCCAGAATGTCAACAGAAGAGGAGTCAGGCTCACCTGGATGGCGTTGATAGCTGGTGCTGAGTATGTCCGATGCAGGACATCCATGCTTTGCAGCAGCTGGCTCATTTCTACCAGGTAGGCGTGACAGTGCGCCAGGTCTGTGGGGGAAAAGAGGACAGTGCTCACAATGCTCCACTAGCAAGAGGGATCACTGTGCTGTCACCATGCCAGCCACTTTTCCTTATTTAGCTATATTTGATTTTTTTTCATCTGTAATGGTTGGAAATTTTACTTCTTCTTTTACAGGAAAGGCTACAGACTCTAGTGGTTAAGGCCATAAATCTTGAGAACCAGGCTGCCTCAGTTTGAATCCACTTAATGAACTTTGACTATTGAGAAAATTACGAAACTCCATGCCTCAGCTTCCTCATCAGAAAGATGGGGATAATTATACATCTAGATCACAAGAGAGTTGTGAGAATTAAATGAGTTGATATTGCACAGTTCTTAGAAGAATGTCTGGCACTAAAAGAACTAAATAAATTAGCCATCATCATCATCATCATCATCACCAGTATGTCTAATTCTGTAGTAATACGCTGCCACTATCCACTTGTCAAGACCCAACGCACATTAAATTAATAAAACTAAAATGAAAGTGGTACTGGTCTCTAAGGAAAACTTTGTCAATCATGGACCTGCCTGAGGACCATAACGAGCCTCTGCAGATGGAGCTGACAGGACATAAGGGGACTCTCTGACCAGATTCCAGTTGCTAACTCAAAAGATAGTCCATAATTTACTGTTCACTGGATGATGAAGGGTGTTTCTGTGGAAGAAGGGAGGCCCAAATGCCTTAGGCTAGAGGCTCTCACACTTTGATATCATCAGAATCACCTGGACACCTTCTTAAACCACAGCTCATTGGGCTCCACCCCTAGTTTTTGATTCCGTGCATCTGGGGTGAGCCTGAAAATGTGTATTTCTGATTAAGTTCTCAGGCTGGGCCGATGCTGCTGCTCCAGAGACAAGGATTCAGGGACTGCTTTGACAAGATGTCACTCGGTAAAGCTCATGAGTCGTATTTATTGGAAGGGCAAAGCCTACCTGGTCCCAAGGGTGATACTACCTGTATTCAACAAGAGATAATGCAATTTTCAAGGCTGCCACCCGGTATCTTTCTCTAATAGTGGTTCTCGATCATGGCTACACGTTTAAATCAATTGGAGAAATCTTTTAAATCATATATGCCTAAATAATACCCCCAGACTATTCAATCAGAACGCTCCCAATCCCGCTACGGATCTTTTTCGTTTTTAGTTCCCTAAGTCAGTCTTAGCTAATTAAAGTTGAGAATGCTGACCTTCCTTATTGCAAGCGCCTTATCAAAATCACTTGGGGAACTTTGGAAAATTAGTGATACCAGGGCCCTACTTCAGACCAATTTAAAGGGATTATTTGAGACAGAGGATTGGGAATGGATATTCCTGCATTTTAAAAGCTCTCTGGGTGATGCTGAGGTGCAGTCAGGGTAGAGAACACCTACATTGTGAAAATCTCCATCTGATCACCCCCTTGCCTCTAGCAAAATGATTCTCAGTCTTGGATGTGTGTCAGACTCTGCCCTTGGAGACTGACTTATAGGCCCATGTTGGAATCAGGCATCAATACTCAGGAACAGAAGAAACGTGCCTGCATGTACAGCCAGGTGAAGACATAAAGATCTGCAAGGAGAGTGTCTTTTGTTGATGATGGGCACAATCTTTACAAGCAAAATATAGAAGGGAATGTGGACAAGTGAAGGGGAAGGACAGAAATGCACCTGAAGTGTAAACATCAAACCAGTATCATCTAATGGCCACGACAGAAAGCAGAGGTTTCAAGTCACTCTACCTTTGGAGCATTTTTCCATGTCTTCTGAAGACTGCAGCCATAATGGAACTCGTGTCTCACCGCCACAAGAAAACGATAAATTGCTTCCAGCTTGAAATAAATTCTGCTTTGATATACTGCTACGCTGTTCCACAGATGACAAAAGCACATTGTAAACAGAAACAGAGCCCAGCGGGGACACGTTAGGGTAAAGGATAGCAGAGTGGGCTAGTCACCAATGGACACCACCTGCCTATAATGAGAAAGAAGCTTCTAGCAAAGCACTAAGATCTCTGGCTATCACCCCAGCTTGGCCATATCATGCTATGATATGGCATGCCTTGAATGGTGGACCTGATTTTCTTCTTTTATCAAATATTAACAAAATATAATAATATAAATGTTTGGAAATATTTTGCAATCCTGCATGGCTATATGCATCCTTACTGTGGTTTAAACCTAGAAAGGGAAACCAAACTCAAACCAGTCAGGAGAAAGGTAGTTCATTCAGGGATGCTAAATTCCTCCATGTCAGTCACTGTCCCCCTCAACTAATAGATACTCGTCTGGTCTTGGTTCTGACTCCTCAATTGGCAAAGAGACTAATTAAACACAGCCCAAGGCTACCTTGCTTGTCCCTGAAAACCTTTCCTTCCTCAGACTCAGCTCCCAAGACGGTACTCCATTAAACAAAGCCACCGCGTTCTAAGATTCATTATTGACAAAACATTCATTACCTTCCTACTTGAAATGGAGTCAAACACCGCAGATGCAGAGTCTGTGATGGTGGACCCTGAGAAAAAGTGGTTAACTTCATGTGGAAACATGGCAATTTCATTCTGACGATACATTCTGTGGTGGCGAAGTTTCGATACCCACTCATCAAAGACTTCTTCTGACTTGACCTATAATGTATTCAATTGAAAAAAGAAAAGAAGATAATCATTCACTGGAAGGAACAATTACTGATCAAATTGATGCCACTCCCCAAATCCTCTTTTTCAGTTGGCACATAATTTCGATAGCCAGGCGGAGTGGCTGATGCCTGTAATCCCAGAACTTTGGAAAGCTAAGGAGGGAGGATCACTTGAACCTAGAAGTTCAAAACCAGCCTGGACAACATGGTGAAACTCTATCTCTACATAAAATTGAAAAAAAAATTAGCCAGATGTGGTAGTGCATGCCAGTGATCTGAGCTACTCAAGAGGCTGAGATGGGAGGATCACTTGGGCCTGGGAGGTTGAGGCTGCAGTGAACCAAGGTTGAGCCACTGCACTCCAGCCGGGGTGGCAGAGAGACTTGTCTCAAAAAACTAAATAAGAAAGAAAAGGAATGGAGAAATAGCCTCTTATTGACTGTTTATATTGAAGTGGTCTATGGGAATAAGTTTGAGAAGGAAGGGCAGGGTAAAAATGCAGGGTAAGCATGTATTTTGGCTTTCTATGAGTGAGTCCAACTGTTATGCCATTTTTAGGAAAACAGAACAGTACCAATTATATTAAGCAACAAATAAACTGAAAGTTATATTTATCTGCCCCTTAAAGCATTTCCAAGTTCTCTAATCCCAGCTTCTCCATGTCTACTGAAAATACTAGCACCATGTTTCTTTTTAAACTCTTTTATAATTCAGACTTTTCAGATCAATCTTTTCTGAACTGGAATGAATTAGTAAATTCTCCCCAAAATATTTAACTTTGTTCATCTCTCCAACAAAGAACACACTGCTGAGGAGTATATGTGATGTGGTTTGGCTGTGCCCCATGTCTCCACCCAAATCTCATCTTGAATTCTACGTGTTCTGGGAGGGACCTGGTCAGTGAGAGATAAGTAAATCATGGGGGCAGGTCTTTCCCATGGTGTTCTCATGGTTGTGAGATGAGAACACCATGGGAAAGACCTGATCCAGTTACCTCTGCTGGTATGATAAGGTGGAGTTTCCCTGCACAAGCTCTTTCTCTTCACCTGCTGCCATCCACGGAAGATGTGACTTGCTCTTCCTTGCCCTCTGCCATGATTGTGAGACCTCCCCAGCCATGTGGAACTGTAAGTCCATTAAACCTCTTTCTTTTGTAAATTCCCCAGTCTTGGATATGTCTTTATCAGCAGTGTGAAAACAAACTAATACAATATGTTAATAAATGTGAAGGTTATTTCAAAAAACATTTCTCCCACTCTCAGAAATAAAGCACTATACAGCATTATTATTATTTTTCCAACTTTTATTACAATCACACTCACACTTAGCCATTCTCTCCATATATCAGCAATTATCAATTTCTAATTTCCATGAAGAATACTGTTTGCAACACATAGTTTTTATTTAAAGATATTTGAAATGTTTATATCTATAAAAAATATAACAAGCATCTATATACCATAGACATTTCTTAGAAGTTAATTTTTATGTGTGGGTATGACAGTATATTGATATTTTCAAAGTAAAAAATGATAGATATCCATATATTAGGATACCGAGACTTATGAAGCTGTAATTTAAGATAATCCAACAGGATGCATGGTAGGATAATTTCTAAGATGAAAAATTCAGGTCAATCTGTGAAAATCTTTACTAATATCAGAGATGAGAGCCAGGATATGCACATAAATGCCAGCAATATCACTCATGGAGGAACGGTTAGGTTGACTCTGGTGCTGATTATTAGAAGCTGAAAGCAGCTGCAGGGGCTTTTTAATGTGTCATTTACAGGAAGAAGCAATACAAACAGACTCACATCTATTTGTCTCCCCTAATTTATGTTCTTCAAATGTATTTCATTTCCCAGATGTGGTTAAGAGGAATTTTACAGGAATCTTGTGTTATCCTTTCCACTGATCTATTCTCAGAGGCCCTTATAAGTCAGTGCCCAAGCACTCATCTGGACTCACTTTTTCATCAGTTAAACAATGTGGAAGAATAAGAGTACTTTATTAAATAACAGCCCAGGATCCTGTTCCAGTCCCTCAAGTAGATCTAGGGCCATGGGTGAACAGCCGCTTAATCTTCTGCTACCCAGGATCCCTCATCTATAAAATAAATGGGACCAAACGGCCCACAATTAAAAACTGCCAGACTCTGAGGCTATTAACTAGAACCCGCAGATAACTACACTTACCTACACTAATAGTCATAGCTGATGTTCAAAAGAATGAACAAGAAACTAAGCAGAACTTAAATCACAGAACTTAAATCACTGTGTTTATCACAATATTAGCATTCAATCTATTTTAAGGTATTCTAATCCTTTAAAAATTATGAATAATTACTTTTATTTTGTTAACCACAATAGTGGATAAATAAGAACCTATTAATTCCTGACCACATCAAAATACAGAACTAAGATTCGTTGGAAGTACCTGAAGAAATAACCTAAACTCTTCTAGTGGAGATCGATCACTGAAACAGAATAAGCATAATATTCTTTCTTAAATTTGTTTTTTCTCTCCCATTCTTCATACCAGTCATTTGCAACCAGGGGTAACTTTAACCTCTAGGGAACACCTGGCAATATCTGGAAACATTTTGGATGTCATAATTGGAGAAGGATGCTACTGGCATCTAGAGAGAGGGCAGGGACAGGGATACTGCTCAACATCCTGCTATACAAAGTCAGCCTCCCATAACAAAGCATTATCCAGCTCACAATGTTAATGGTGCTAAGGCTGAGAAACCCTGTTTTACACCATCACCTACAGCCAGAGATACAGTTAGGCTAGGAAATAGTGAAGATTTGACTGCCTTGCCCATTCAACCAACCACAGGTATGTTAGGTCCACAATGCTCAATCACCACATACATGCCATGGAGAAGACAGGGACACATGAAGACAAGGAGCTCATGATCTCATGCTTTGGTTTTCCTAATCCTCATGCCCCATTCCCAATATCTCAAGTAATCTACCCAAGTAAGAAAAGAGTCTTAGCATTTTCTCAATTAATTTCTAACACTCGGGTACCATCCAACATGCACATATAATAGCTAAACTTCCTGAGTTTACACTGGGCCAGGCACTATGCCAAGTTTCCTACATTCAACCCCAAAACAGGAGTGTTACAATAATTTTCACTTTGTTTTAGGTGGAAAAACTGAGACTTTCAGAGATTAAGTAATTTGTCAAAGTTCAATGGCTAGTGAGTAGCCACATCAAAATCTGAACCAGATCTAGATCTCACACTTCACGCTTTGACTATCCCTACCACCTGCAGGAGAGACAGCACAAGAGGGTAAACAACTTTGAAGTTCTATTTGGGAACCCACACTTTAGGGGAAAAATTCCTGACATTTCACTACAATATGAGAATTTTAGTTGAATTCCTATAAAATTCGCCAAAGTTGTAAAACAGGGCTCCATGGCCTAAATGTTACATACATTTCAGGAACACATTTTAACCTATGGTAAATGGTTCTTCACTAAATCTGTCACTGTCTGGGTGGAGGTGGTTTGGAAACGAAGTTTTTCACTGTTGACTGCTGTCACAATCACTGTGGGCAGGGTGGTATCTAGGGGATGAGGCGACCAGGATGCTAAACCTTCAAGCAATCTGACAGACAGTCCTGCACAATGACATCTTATTCAAATAGCAGAGCTGTCCATGAGAAACACTTTGGTAATGAAGGTCATCTACATGTTGGCTGAATGCCCAAAAGGCATCACCAATAGTATAATGACTGACAATCCTTCCTCAGCGTAAGTGAACTCTACACAGCAGGAAGCAACCTCACCTTCAGATGGTAGATGTGCTCCTCGGTGTCAAGGTCTATGCATTTTGATGACTTCTTTACAGACATTACTGACAGCCCGACGTCAATGCAGCCATGCAGCTTCTCTCTTTCTATCTGAGAGGCACCAAGAAGGCCACTTGAGAACCATGGTGTTAAAAGCAGCAGTCACACCCCTGACACACCCCTCCACATCCACTAATAGTAAACACAAACACTGAGAATCATCAAGCACTTAGCGTGAGCCAGTGCTGAGTTGTGCTGGGCATGCACTGTCTTCTACAATCTCTGAGATAGCAAGTATTCTCCCCATTTTACAGATGCAGAAACTGGGGTACAGAGGGGTTAAATAACAAGCAGTTTCCACAACCAGGAGGTGAGGAAGCAAAAAAGTAAACACTATGGGCTGACTTCCATAGTAGTGAATTTACCTGTCAACTGCACTGCCTCCCACTGCATTAGTTTCTGGTGTCTAAATTCATTTAGAAGTAATGTTATTAATAAAAAAAAAAAAAAGTGAGAAAAGGAGACTAAGAGAGGACAGGAGAGGAGGAAGGGAGGAGAGAAGGACTCCTACAAGAGGCATGACAAATGGTCATTCAGAGCCCTCACACACCAACTGCCTGGGATTAATCTGAAAAGGAACTTCTTCACCCAGCACCTTCTCCCCTGTACCCCTCAGTCACAGTATGAGCGGGAACGACACTTGTCCTACGTTTTGTTCCTGTTATCTAGCTGCAAGGATGTATTCTCCCATCCAGAGAACTCCTTAGCACAACCCTAAGACCAGAATAGACCTTTGGATGCCCAGAGAGTGTTGGGGGAGCCCCTGCACCTTTACCTGGTAGAGGAACGGAGCCTGCCTGGAAGCCAGAGCTAAGAGAGAAGTGATTCCTCTCACAGTTTCCAGTTTCAAGAAGAGCTATCCGCAACTATATACACACTCATCTCTGAGCTGACAGTTACCCCTTTAGAATTCTCCAGTACCACACTGGGCCCACGAACAGACTTACATCAGCTTGGCTCTTGGCATATTTCAAGATTCCTTTGTCAAGATAGAAGAATCTCTGTGGGGAAGAAAGATTATTAATTAAGACATTCCATTTAGGTGTCCTTTCCTTGGTCTCAAATTCCAACTACAAATTAAATATCAGTGCCTAAGAACCAGGTGAGTAGGAGGCCAGTGTGAGAGCAAATAACGGGGAGGCCAAGACCAACCTTACCTTGTGCCAGCCTTTTAAGGGCCATTTCCTCTTTTTCAGCAAAAATCCTTTCTGAACTGGTGGCTCCTGGGTGTAATTCATCTCCCCCCTCAGTCCTTCCACCACTTCCCAGCTGTCCTGTTCCAATAAAAAAGTTCATGTTAAATGTCTATCTTTTTGAAAAATAATAATGTTACAAAGCACTGCATCCTATCAGTAAATTTGCTCAAGATGGGGAGGCTGGCTGGGTTTGTTGGGGAGAAGAAATCCAAATTTAATTTCCATACAGTCCCTGGGCTTCATAAATTTAATTTTATAATTTAGCGGCATCAAATTTCAGTTTTTCTAAAGTTCTTTCTTAGAAGGGAATGTTTCTTTTTGTGTTTGAAACTTAATAGGCAGAGCTAAATGTAAAGATTTTCCTGTAAGTTCTATTTTTGTTCACTTTGACATTACCATGCAATTACTGTTTGTTCACCACTAGACTTCAGTTTGAATTTTAACCAAAAGCTACAGACATCAGGATGGAAGCTGTGTGTGTGTGTGTGTGCGCGCGCGTGTGCGCGTGTGTCTGTGTGTGTGTGTGTCTGTGTGTGTGTGTGTGTGTGTGTGTGTGTGTGTGTGTGTGTGTTGGTATGTTGTTGAGGGAAGGAAGTTGGTCTATGAATTGGCTGAAAAGTATGAGACAATGCAAATTAGTAAATATGACAACTTGGTAGAAATAATGATTTTGTTAAAAATCAACATCCATAAATTCTAGGTATTTAAACGTATTGGAAATCTGGAAGCATCAAAAGTATGTATTTGCAACAAGAATTTTCACTACCTTTCCCAGAAATTTGTTTTTTCATCTTTTTTTGTTTCAAAAACTTTTCTTTCTTTGGCCAATTATTACAAATAGTTGTTGCTTCTTCCACTATTGGTTATTTAGGTTATTTCAACTAATTGAAAAAGAATTTTAAAAGAAATAAAAAACAAAAACACTAAAAGTTCTGAAAAGTTACTTTTAAATATTTAAAAATGCACAAATCATTGCTAAATCACCCCAAGATAAACCAAAAGTGCCAATACGTCAGTGACTGGGAGTTTATTTTTACTGTTATTATTTTTTATATTTTTATTGGGATATAATGTACATGAAATGCACACATATTGAGTATGCCTCAATAAATTTATATATTTATCCATATACTCAGTAACTGCCAGCCAGATCAGACAGAAAACATTTCCAACATAGAATGATTAAGTTTTAACAAGCATGACACTTTGGCCAAGATTTCACCTGGACTAACTTTCCCTGAGTCAAATCTCCAGGCCACAGGCAGGTGGTACAGGCAAAAGCCAGTGACATGGAAGATGGACAGTGAGTGTGCACCAGCACCAGGGAGCAGGAGGCAGTTAGATTCAAGTCCCCGGACACAAGTGGTCTAATAGGGAGGGCACAGAAATCACATGGGGTCCTGATTTGGCTCTGGCTCAGTTTCTGTGTTGTCCTCAAGTTCAATACATGGGACCTACCTGGTAATGTGAACCCTTTCCTGTGTTAGCAACTGAGCTCTTTACATAATGATCATGATGAGCCTGCCTTCTATCTGATGGCACTTTACTGTGAATCCAGCTAAAGGTATATACCAGAGTTTTAAAATATCACAGTGGTATCCCAAAATCTGGAGTTGTGAAAGAGACTTCTTTAATGGGAAAAAGCAAAGCTTAGGGAAAAAAAAGCAAAGAAAAAAAATTCCAGCTTTTAAATTAGAGGATTTTTTTTTTTGGGGGGGCGGGGAAGTAGCAATGTTGAATGAGATTTCTTCATAGGAACGATTAACAATTATTCCAGGCCACTTAATTACACTCAGACAATAAATGCATACTACTAAGTGGTGGGAAGTCAGATTTCCTATTACTTAAAAACACGCACACAAAAAAACCCTTACTTAAATTATTTTAGCTCAGAAAGCCATTCCTTAAAATTTAACACATTTTACCCGTCTAAATGTTAAAGAATCTTTAAGGTTGTCAAGTTAAAAATTCCACCTCAAATTTCACCTTCTCCAGTGGAAAATACCATTTCATCCCTAGAGACTCCATAAGTACTCCATCTTACTTTTCCAGAGGTTCACCACTTTCTTATGATAATATGTACATGAGGTTTCATCATCCCTGCTGGACAGCAGGCTCTTTAAGAGCTTAAAGGGTCCAGTGTATTTCTGATTTCCCCACAATGCATAACCTGCTGTCCTGTGGATGGTATGCATTTGATTAGCAAATAAATAAACTTAGTCTTGGAATAAGTCTGCAAACAGATTTATCTTCTTGAAATGTCATAAATTAGCATGCATTTGAAGTGTGCCCAGTATCTTTGGGTCAAATGACTATTTACAAATTAGATACAATGCAACCACATTTGTGAAAGAGTTGGGTATGGGTGTTGTTGTCACTGTTAAATAAAAATCCAAGACTTAAAATCCTCTGGAAAGTACTCTAAGTGGATCAAGCCCTTTTGATTTGTTTGTTTTAAGACTCTCAGGCAAAAGCAACCTGTAGGGCACTAATACTAAACAATCAGGCACAACTGCTCAAAATATTCAATTGTGCACAATGCAAATACCAAGAGGAATCAGATGTTATTGCATCCTTTACAAAACTGAAAAAAACAAACAGGTAAGATCATACCTATAAGTTTAAAGGAAAACAAGAATTAAATCTCAGAACTATTTCAAAAATTCCCGTTAGAACTGGTTTGCTCCTCCTTCTGAGACAGCATGCATTCCTATCAGTGAGCGACTATGGAGGGCAGGGAATTAAAGTGCATCTGTTGGCCCTTCACATAAACAAACAAACAAAACAAAACGGTTGCATTTTTTTTCCTACAAAATATTGTTTTCTTCATTTATCTTCCACCTGGGCTCAGAACTTGAAACTGTTACCAGGTTGGAAGCCAGATTTGAAGTATTTAAGAAAGTGAAGGCTCTCTTTGAAAAAGCAGTGCAACCAACTCCTTTTTCGGACTTGACATCCAAATCCACCATCACACCCCATTGCTAACACCGTCCAGGAGTCACAAGGCCAGCATTCAACCTGGTAGTTCTCAGTGAGGTTGCGACTGCTCCCTCAGGGCCACTGTGGAATCCTGGAGCCACTTTTGGTTGTGACAACGATAGGGGGATGCCTCTGGCATGGAGTGGCTGGGAGCTAGGAGTGTTACATGTCCTGCAATGCCTCGGTCTTGCACCAAGACAAAGCTGTCCCACACCCCAAAGACTTCCCAAAGTGCCATTAGCCATTTCCATAGGTGAAATGTGCTCAAAATCACTTAAGCATGGAACAGAACTCTGTTTCACACATACATCAAAGAATTTTTGCATGGTTTTTATACACTCTTGGGATGTAACTGCTGAGTAACTGAAGGAAAACTGTATTTTGTTCTTTCTGGAACTTTACCAAGTGTCTCCCATATTTTAGAGAAGAACGCTGCTGACTGCCATGCCATCTGAGTTATTAATACCACACACCTGTATCTTCTGCATTTGCAGTTGTCACTTTCTATGTATAGGTACATCTGACCACTTCATTATGTCTTTTGGTGTAGTCATGACTGGGCTTTTACATATGGAAATACATGTTTTAACATTAACCACATTCTTTGAATTTTCCTTTATATTACAGTAAAGCATGAGGTTGACGCTTTCAAAATTATGTATGCAAGGAGGTTACATTAATAATGAATTTCAGGGCTGGGCATGCTGGCTCACCTATAATCCAGCACTTTGTGAGGCCGAGACAGGTGGATCATGAGGTCAAAAGATTGAGACCACCCTGGCCAACATGATGAAACCCATCTCTACTAAAAACACACAAAAAAATTAGCTGGGTATGGTGGCGCGTGCCTGCAGTCTCAGCTACTCCAAAGGCTGAGGCAAGAGAATCGCTTGAACCTGGGAGGTGGAGGTTGCAGTGAGCCGAGATTGCACCACTGCATTGCAGCCTGGCAACAGAGCAAGACTCTGTCTCAAAATAAAATAAAATATAATGAATTTCAGTTGGACATAGTGGCTCGTGCCTGTAATCCCAGGATTTGGGGAGGCTGAAGCAGGAGGAATGCTTAACCCCTGGAGTGTAAGGCTACAGAGAGCTATGATCACACCACTGCACTCCAGCCTGGGTGAAAGAGACCTTCTTAAGAAAAGTTATATATATAATTTTTAATATGTAAAAAATTATGTAATATATATCATATTTACATATATAAATTTTATATATATATATAAATTTATAGGAGAGTAAAGCAATCATTAAAATACTGGTCATAATAAGAAGACATTGGTTAAGTAGATGACAGGGTAAGAACCACTAATCAACTTGACACAAATTTTGTGTACTGTTGCGAGAAAGAATACTAGGCCAGGACACGGAACACGTAAAATCACTTTGAAAACTGTACAGGCTTTAATGCATACTGCATTTTGACTGTAGTTTAAATACGTAAATTCTGATGAAGAAAAAGGAGTAAATCCCATGGGGTAGAGGAATAGTGGTGGGCCGAGGCGCTGATAGTTGGAAGGAGCTAAGAAACAGTGCAGTATGGATGGGGGCAAGTAAGGCCTTCAACCCTCTCAGAGCCACCGTTTTCCTTATCCTGTAGTCCCACTAAACAGGAAGAGAAATTAGCCTGTGCGTTTTCAGGCTGCCGAATCTTCATCATTCGTTTATTTCAAATCTGCCCCATCTACTTCTTAGCTTGGTAAATTCTCATTTAGGCCCAAACCTCCTCCCTGGATGACAGTCACCTTGCACTGTCAGCCTCCCTAGCTAGAACATGGGTTCAAGGAGGACAGGGACTGTGTCTTATTTATCATAATCCTACAGCCTGGGAAATAGCCAAAATAAATATTTACTGAATGAGTCTGCAAAGCAAGGGGGATATCAAAAGAGTCCCCCAGAACCTTCAGGACATGGAACTTTAATAATGTGTGCTGGATTCAAGTGAATTGGTACTCAGGACGGAAAACGAGAGGAATGTTGGTTTCTCTTGGCTAAAGGAACCAGGACTTAAGAGTGACTCCTGCTGCCCTCCATATATCTGGTGCCCCAGGAGTAGGGCACACATCTTGAGCTGCATATCCTGAGACACCGTAAAG